AGATAATTAAATGAGGATTGAGCATTAGTGATGAACACCTGTTAACAAGCAGAATCACTGAAGGAAAGAGAAACAAGAGCAGAGAAACACAACTTACAGCCAAAGCCAAAGATGAAATCAACTGAAAATAAAACACATTAAATTGATCAAGATCTCAGCAGAGGAGGATTAAACAGCTCCACAAAGAACATCACCAGCTTCTTATTACTAACCCTTGTGACTTTATTTCTGTCATAGGTGTACAAAAGCTCTTATTGAGATTTTAGGTGTTGTACTTTCATTTGTAGTCACCATAATGGCAATCGGTGTTTGCTTTAGTTGGGCTCTTGAACCTTGACTTTTTAAAAATAGTTTTTCTTTGGTTGCTTAAATTAGCTTTGTTTATTTAACGCAGTTTTTGTAGCAAGAAAAGCCAAAAGAATCTATGATCAGATAAAACTGGTGTTTGTGATGTCAAGACCATCATGAACTAGTCTGATTCACTGATCTCACCTAATGTTTAACCTCGTATTAAGTGTGTAACATATAACTAATACTTTTGAATTGCACCACTGATATTACCGCAATCACTGTGAAATATTCCTAAGCACAAAATGCACAAATAAAAGCTTTGAGCTATGGCAGAACTTAAACACACACAGACATCAACAGTCAGCCTATGAATCTCAAGATTGGTGACAATCAAAACATCCTTTTCATGCTGCAATGCATGCTGGGAGTTTTGTACTGGCACCCAGCATGCATTGTGGTATTATTTATCTTTTTTTTTAATTAATAATAGTCACCATTGTTGAGATTCATGTGCTGATTCTTATGTCTGTGTGTGTCTAAATGGTACTGTAGCTCTGAAGGTTTTGTGCATAAAATGTTTTTAAATTTCTTCACAATAGTTTGTCAACATATCTTGTAGAGTCATAGTACCATAAAAAAAAAAAAAAATTAAAAAACCCATATATTTAGACACTAATTTAGATCAGTGAATCAGATCATGAGATGATGATTTCATCATCATTTATAGTTATCAAAACCACTTCATTACAATCCCTCTCGGCTCTTCTTGTCATAACAAACGTGCTTTACACACACACAAACAACAGCAGAGAAAAACTAACATTAAAGAGTCAAGGGTCAAGAG